AACAGCTAAATCACAAACATGCCAAGTGAAACAGAGCCTAGTGGTACTTATAATATAAAAGCCTATATAACGCATTACATAAGAGATCTCTTACAAGTACAAACGTCCAAGTTAACACTTGTCAACAATAGCCTGGTTGATAGCCAATTCATAAAGCCTTTGACAATTTGTAATTCAGTTCAGATTAAACTCAAAGTCAGAACGAGGTCAGCTGGTGTCACGACACCACGAGGGCGGATTGTGAAACCTGTTCAATTTATTTCACTTACCTGCCAAATGCAACGTGTAAGTTAAAGATTCATTTTCTTTACGATATTGAAGTCTACTTTTTCGCGCGTCTCTAGCAAGACAATCGATATATGCTTGTATCAAGTTTAATATAAAAACTTATAATAAAATATAAAGAACTTACGACTAGGGTACTTCTAGAAAAGAGTATACTAATTCTGAAAAGCCCGGCAACGCAATTGCGAGCCTTCTGGCAATGTTGTGTATTAGTACAATATAACAATTTTGTGCCTGGTGGTTACTTTAAAGTTATATTGTTGGACACATATTTTACACAGTTGTACAACTCATTAAATTGGTTATTACGATATAAAGAGCTTGGAAATAGTCCTGTACGATCAAATAAGGCTTAGAAGTTTATATGATATCCCTTGCACGGATGCGAGGTACATTCCACGTGAGTCACGAATATATTCTGTTTAAATTTGCTCAGCTGGTACACAATTTGGTATTCAAAATATTACAGTGACTAACAAACCAGTTTTGAATTTAAAGGATAATCTAGATGACGAATAAGGAAGTCTTTTAGGTGTTCTAACTTTAATTCATATTTTAATAAATTTGTATAAACCATTTTAAATTAATGACTTATGTAATTAAAATACGAGGTCGAGCTTATAATGACTAAACGAAAAAAAATATTTTTCGATAAATGAAAAAAATAAAATAATAAAGATAAAGAATATAGTAATTTTATCTCAATTCTACCCATAAACCTTTTCCTTGTTAAGCAAACTTTCTTCTAATCAAGGACTATCAGCCTACAGTATAAAATTTAACTATTATAACATTGCGCTTAACACAGCCTATGAATACAATAGTTTTCATTTAAGGCTGTATTGCATATGTTCATGATTCAAACACACCCACGTGAAGTATGGGAGGAATTTCATACAACTTAACCTTTGATGACTTACTTTTACTGATGGCATCATCATATGACGTCATTAGATGAATTTTTCGGTAAAAAATTGAAGGGGATTCATTGTATTTAGACCAAAAATATAAAAACGTGTTTATGTGTTATTATATCATCTTTTAATTGTATGTTCAAAACTATCGAATGGACTTAGTATGTGAGAATGAATGTGTATGAATTTTTATAAATAAATTTATCGTTTGAAACCTTGGTTTACTGTGAAAAAGAAACCTTTTTAACTACAACGTGTGGCCAAATGAACAAAAGTTCCGGTTTTTTCCAGGACGGAGACGGAAGTTAGTTGCATGTTAAATGTTACCTGTGACACTGTAGCTAAGCTCGTTCACTCTTATTTTTTGCTAAAATCTCAGACTTAAAATATATACCACTGGTGTACATGCACTCCCCTACCTTTTATAATTGCTTTTTCTATTGAAAATATGATAGCAAACATCCAGCATTTAAAAAAAACAAACATGAAAAAGAGACTAGTCTGGTGTTTTACTGCCAGATAGCATTTGACTATCCACGCTACACAATGTTAATTGGCTTGAGAACGTCTGCTAATCTTCTATTTTCTTGAGAATTTTTAGGATTTTTTAAACGTTTGAGGATTCTTACCTTTTAGGTAGCTACTAACGCTCAGGTCCTTCCCACACTACATTAGAACCTTCAGATTCTACGTGGGGTACACATTCCTTCTTCTAAGGCATTAGTCTAATACGTTGATAATTTAATTAAGTGACTTAAGCGTATGTTAAAACTAGTTAGTCAACATTGTATGCAAATTTTGTTCGGTTACGTAAGTAACAGGCATGATCGGAATTACCTAATATTGAATACTGCAACACGCTTCGCTCTGAATGTTTGATTGTGGTCACTTGAAAGGTACTTAACACAAGGTTCATGCAAATTTAAACCTTAAAACCATCAACACACATGCATTGACTAACAATTATTGGTTGCAATACACGACCTCGCATTCGACGCTTTTGTGCATAAATTTTCTTTTGAAATTGTTAATTGCCATCAACTTAACTTAAGTTCATTAATAATACACAATTCAATGACAGCTGCATGAAAATCTTTTATTATACAATTGCTATTCGTTTACCAGTTCAATGGTATATTAGAAAATGTCAAAGAGGTTTTATAGAACCTTCAATGAATTGAAGATTCTAATTCACAAATTTAGGAAAAACATGATACATCAAACAAAAAGACGTACATATGTATAGAAATGCCACCCCTATAATATATGGACATGATCAGAATTTGTATTCTTTTATTAAAGGCATAAATCCCATACTAGGGATTTCGATCAATTTCGTTTACGTTGACACCCCTACATTTTATTATTAACCTAGCATATTAATCGTGCCATCCTATAAGATTAGTATTCTTATCTCGTCACAAAATAACTTGAATCCCGGCTGAGGTTTTTCTGTATAAATGTGGACTGGTTTAATAAGAATATTTTATAGTTACATTAAGCAAGTAATATAGTTTTTCTACCGTTCAACTTAATAAATGATGCGCGGTGATGAACACCCAACAATTACACGTTTAAGTCTAAGTAAGTTTTTACGTCCAAGTCCAAATTAGGCCTTAACCCGGTATATAACCCATTTTATTATGACGCCGGTGAAAGTATAATCGTTTCGTTATTTAAAAGAAAATGACCTTGGTAATGCATTTTTGTTATAGTTGCTATGTCAGCCTTTAGTATTACTGAAATTTGAATGTTGCTAATGTTAGTGAGGTGCTGCATTTGGTAATAGGTAGACCTGAATATGAATGCCTAGACAAAAATTTGGACAACACACAACAAAACTACTTTTGCCTGTGTAGATCCTTACGAGTACAAGAAAAACTAATATTTTATTTACAGCTTATGTACGGTCAAAAATATTATAAAATCTAGTTATTTTTATAAAATTACCAGAAAGCCTTTTGATATAATAAATGCATTAATTTTTTATCATAGCCTTCACCCCCATACGCTACTCAAATAGGTCGCTAGGCTGCGAGAGGAAACGTGCGAGTCGAAAGCACAACAAAAAGGTTATATTATAGTACCAATACAAAGAACGTGGCATTCTATTAGTAAAATATTTTTTTAAATCGCATCAGAGATTAAACCTAACAAACTTTGACTTCATTATTAAATAAAATGTTCGTTGATCAACGTTTTTGCTAATCAATACGGTACATAAATAATATGATAAAAAATAATTACCGTCCTTTAAGGTTGTATAAACTGGTAAGCAGTATGCCGTTGGTCTAGTATGCAGCTAGGTTTCCTTTCACATCTAGACTACATGGCTGGAATGCCTGCATAACGTGGTTATTTTGATTTGTTGAAGCTTGGTTTTGCAGTGAATAAAATACGATCACTTTTTCGTGGTTTTTTATTTCGTAGTCCCACAACTAACTTAAATTATATATAACTTATAATGTATTAAAAACTTAGAAATCACAAAAAACTAAGTGATACCTGTGTCGTGAGTGGGGTTATATTATTATACCTATGCTGTTGGCTAAATAAATAAAATATAAATTTGCTAAGTCAGTTAAGTTACGCCAAATTATGGATTTATAGATAGATTTTAATGTCTAGGAAAAATTAATATATTATAAAAACTTGTTTTTAATATCGTCATTTGTTGAATAAAATTTCTTAAATAAAAACGTGAATATACTACAGTTTTTACATTGTCGAATGCTTTTCAGAACCTTCATATAATTTTAGCTATAAAGTTACATTCTCGGTACATAAAATACAAAGACATCTAGTCTATAAAGTTGAATTCTAAGTTCTTACTTAGAATTCAATAATAATAAAAGTCAATAGAAAAATCTATTTATACTATCACAATACTACGTAAATAAGCATCATAGGCTGGTACTGAACACTTATATTATTTTGAAATAAGCCTGTATTTGATAAGAAGTTTAAAAATAGACATTTAATCCCGGAATGAGAAATGTTCAATTCGAAGTTTGTCAGAAGTACACTCCCGCGTACACACTTAAGCACTACCAAAAGAACACACATGTGGCAAAATATTTTGCAAATGATTACGTTATTGGTATTTACTATAATATTCTGGTAATGCAATTGAATAGCGGTATTTGCATGTTTATTTTTCACACTTGATTGTTCATCACGAAACTATTTGTATACAGGCCGATCTCTTGATCGGAATATTTTGCGTATGTTCTTTAATATCTGGGATTTATTACCTGAACAAAAGTGATACTTTGAAGCAGGCTTACAATGTCCTATTGGTTGTTGTTTATACATTACGGCATTGAAATTTCTCCTTGGGCTGAGGCTAAAATATAACCTTTGTGATCCATCAGCGTCCTGACTTCTGATTATTTAACTCAAGAAAATGTGTTAGTAAGGTTACATGGCATGATACGTTTTGAATTTAAATTGTTGTTAAAGCGTTTTGAATAAACTATCCACCGGATAAAAGTTTCTACGTATTTAGATTTCGACCATAGTCAGTTCTAAACTTAAATTTTGCCGCTAAGTTATGTCATATCTATATCACGAAATGGGAATGAAATATGCAATATTTCAATAATCATTGGAACACACCGTGTCTTGTAAACAATACTAACAATAAATGTTTTCATAACTGTTGTCTTCGTGAACTGAAACTGGAGTGTTTTGTCGGATCGCGTAGACGTTAACCCTGGCTTGTGATAATTCCCTCCATAAAAAGAAAAATGTCAACGCCGCGGCCATAAACAAGTGTTTTGGGATTTGTGATCTGTGAAAATGAATGGTGGAGGGAATCTAGTAAGGGATGTGCGATATAGAAAAACACCGCGGACACCTAGGTCTGCGCATGCGCGGTACTATTACACTAGGTCTATTATAGGCTCTCCATTAAGTAGAAGAAGGGATATAGCAAGGATAAGGTATAAAATAGAATCCTTTTTAAATTGTTTTTCTAATTATATACGTTATTATATATGTAAGCGACTTTTGTTTTCTTGCTCAAAGATCAAAAGCGAATTTCGGTCAAATTTTGAGTCAACAGTACGTTATACGGAAAAGAAAAAACGTTACTACAGTGTTCAATAAAATCGAACAAAAAATATATTGTTCGTTGATTGGTTAAATAAAACAATCCTTGACCCTTGGCCCACGCGAGGAATCTGACATTTTCAACCTTTGATGCTTCTTCCATTCTCTTAAGGCATCTCTAAAATACATTACGCAAATATGCCGCTTAATTCTATGGTTGTATGGATTGTCTTTGTTTGTAGGATTAAATAACACAGGCAAGACTATGCTATTATTAAATAGGTTTTACATCACGTTTATTGAAGACATATCACTATAAAAAGACTTCAAAGATGAGAACCAGAAACGAGACTTGAGTGTGACTCACATATGTCAGAAACGTATTGCATTTTGACTGGAGCGCTAAGTTTCGTCTCTGACTTACCACCAATACCTTTAAGAAATGAACATTAATATCTATTAGTTAAGTAATTTAGTCCAATTTAAGGTTGGGCCATTTATTTTGAACTACGATGTAATATTATATATGGCGGTGTAATACAAGTCTTGGGCGATTTAAAGTTGAAGAAAGATAATTGAGTATTTACATAACTTGAAGCGGTAAAAGGTTGCTTGCCTCGTCTGTGGCCTACTGAGTATAAGGACACGACACATGTTATTAACGAATTTATTTATAGCTATTTTCACCTAAAGTCCCATTACTGACACAATTGTTACAATATTCTTTATAGGCATACCAAGAAATAGTTATATTTTCGAGATCGAACTCATCCACTTCGGGTATCTAATTAAGCTTGTTTATCTGATCTATAGGGGCCTTATTTTTGTGGTCATTTAATAAATACGAATTACAGTAATAAGTAACTAATAAATTCACATAAAATCTAGACAAGAATTATAAGTACTTATTCGTTCACAAAAACATAAATATTTTCAAGTCAATGGGAATGGAATAGACATCTGTCGAACTAGACACTTAAAAATTAATCTGGAATTTTACAGGAACAACACCTTTTGTATGGCAATCAACGTTTATAATAATTTACTGAAACATTCAAAGATCTTCCTACTAGAGTTTTTAAACATCGACTTAATGTTACTACTTTTGTAAAAAATGTATTATTCTATAAATGATTATTTGCGTGAAACATTATACATAGTTAATATTAATTTGAAAACGTAATAATATATTTTAATAATGTGATATTTTCTCACTACAAATAATATAAGAATTGACAATAATGACTCATAATGTATATATAACTTCTGTGTAAAATTCATTTTAAGACAAATTTGCCATTGTTATAATGGCAAATTTGTCTTAAAATTTTTGTACCATATTCTTGCAAATACATTATTATTATTACTAATCTAGTAAGTAAATATTACAGACGAACGAAATTTAAGTACTTTATACAAAAACTTAATAAATGTTCTTTCCTCATGTTACAAAGCCCCTTTTTCAATAGGATTGTGATTTACCTCAACCAGTTAAGCTTTTTATACATTTTGTTTTGTCCATTACTGTTCATGAACCGTCAGGTGATTTGAATCAGGTATTTAAGGTAGATCTTTTTTTCCAGATGTCAGTCAGCTCCGAAACTAATGGATAACCACAGCAGATCCGCGTCGCCGCGGGAGCCATCACGGCCGCAACATCGGCCCCCGTCTCCCCCCACCCCTGAAGGCTTCGACAACAGGGCCTACCAGCACGACGAAGACCCGAACCATAACGACTCCTTCGCGTCAACCCTCCCACAGAACGGCCACAAAGCGAATGGGGATACGAAAACTCTGGAAGCCGTCAATTTGGAACTAATAAACTTGACACCAAAGAATGGCGCGAAGAAAAAAGATGTGGAAGTGGACATGAATACAACCAACCCGTATGATGAATACTTCGTTCCAGTTAACGAGCACAGGAAATATATGAGGTAAGGAAGCTTAAATGTAAGCTAATCTTGGTGCGTAATGTTATTTATTTTACTAAGAATTAATTTACTTAAAAACGAACAAAGAACAACAACGTTACAAGATAACATTACTGTTTTTTCAATGACTAGCGTGATATTGTACAGCAAGGAACAAATTTGTTAATGAATCAATTTAAATATTTTATTATTACATTTTGTGTATAATCGCGGTGATAACACTCAAGGATAGTGATAGTTGAGATAGCCTATAATTAGAATTGATTTATTTTAGATTCGATCTCAGAGCTACGATATTTTTTTCTTTATGGCATGATTAAGTTTCTTATCTTTTAATATATATAATTTTTTGCATACTAGTTTTTTTGTTTGTTGTCAATATGTCATGAATAAATAATAATAAAGAATCTTAACTTTATTGTCAGAGAGATCAAGACAATTATTAAATCAGGGAGCATAATTTAAGAGACGTTTTGTTTTGTAGCAACATACGCCAAGATTTCACCGTATTCCTTTATATAGATAGAAAAATCTCTCAGCTCATGAACATGCTTTTTTTTGACTTGTCTTTTCATATATATCTATGTTGAGGTTAGATTTTTCGCACGTGATACAAATTTGTGTTGATTGTAACCGCAATACGCATATTCGATACAAAAGTCCTTGTTCTACTAACTGTTGTGAAATAACCAATCAATCACATCGAATTACAGAATTTATGTAAAGAGATTTTTAAAAGCATTTCCCTCATTTATAAAATCTATAACCTCAAATAGATTGAATCTTTTGTCGCATCGTCACTCTTGTGGCCGGAAATAAATAAAATATATTATATTTTGTGCTGTGTACTTTCACGAATGGGACTGTAGTATCGCAAATATATATAAAGTTCATCACCTTAAACAAATCAATTAAACAGACAAGCTTCAAATCCCTTAACCTCCGTAAGGTATACGGACAAGAATGCCGTAACCTTCCTCGTTTTCGTCCCTTGATTGATGTGATTATTATTATTCTATTAATTAAACACTACATTTAAGTTATTATTTTTTTCATAATAAAATTAGACAGACATTGGGCAGCTTTATCGCTAATAGACGAAAATTATTTCCATAGGTTCGAGCGTTAAGCTCGAATTCGTCATCGCTCATAGGTGATTATCAAAAGCGTGAAGGTGTTACCAATTTTTGTAAAGGCGTAAAGGTGACTTAAAAATACACGCTGGCCTTGGCTTCGTTTAAATTTTATGTCAACGGTTCATAAGATTCGCAAACATGCTGATTTCAAATTCGTATCATGTATGTTCCAACTGACAACTTCGCGCGGAATGTCAAATTGACTTGAGCTTACGAATAAGTAACGTAGATATAATCTGTGTAAAAACGATCAGATAGATTGTGACATTTACAATGCGATGATGAATAAAGGCCGTCGAAGAAGTGGAACTGTCAATTTAAGGGTCATAGATCAAGTTGTAGAACTTAATGTCGCTAAAAAACCTGATCTGTTAAATATTTTTCATTCTCAGAACTGTATTTTCGTAAGGAAGACTACACTTTTACACTCTCGGTTTCATAAACACCACAAAGGTGTTTATAAAAGTATTATTTATAGTTAAAAATAATAAGGCCATAATTACGATAGACAAGTAATAACTAAGTAGTGATAGTGTCTATGATATAGACATAATGTTATTAAGACTTTATGCTAAACAGTTAAATTTGTTTCGTATATGAGCCAACTGTGCTGTTCATACTGCAGTAGTTGGCTTAGAAACTCCTTTAAAGAAATTTGTAATAACATTTATCTTTTATTCATACTTACGTAGGAGAAATAATAACTAATTACAAATACGTAATAAACCTTTTTTTAATTGGGTAGCAAGAAAGCATAAGAAATTTATTTCTCGCAAACGAAACATAATACGATGTCACACACATCACGAAAAATTTCCACGAAACGTAGGCTTTAGAAAATACAGTAAACGCTAATTATTATCGTTCAACAAGCTTTTGTTTAACCAAAATCCGGCTGAAAGTTACCGTTTGTCGTTGAATAAGTGTTGCTTTTGGTCAAGTACGTGTTCGATTTTTTCCTATACCTCGCTGACCGTTAAACACGGCATTTACGCATTATATACACTGTAAAAATGTAATTTGTAACTTTACGGGGCACAAGAAGAGTTTTACATCAAAGCAATCCTACAAATATTATATAAACTTATTGGCAAATATTGACCCTTAAAACAAAATAGTCTTAGATTTTATGAATTCAAGGTTTGTAAATAGTATTTCGTATTTCCGAAGTAGTTGTCGCCCGGGCCCGGCGGGAGACGCCAAGCTTTTTCAGTATATAAATTCCCTTTTTAGGAAAATAGATATTTGACACTCTCCTGTTGCCTAGCTTCTCGGCCACATATCTGCCTGATCGCGTGCCTGATAGGCTACTATGTAGGTATCCTATAAAACAAGGAATTTCACAACAAACAATAAGTCTCAATAAATGTTGGAACTTCTTCATTTATTGACAATAATTGTTATTTAGCTAATCGCAAATCAATTTTCAGCTTATGATTATCTATTTATACATTACATTTAATCAGCGTAATCCGTTAATTTATATCTCATTAAAACCCTAATGACAAATGTATACAGTACATTGCAATCCAATTAATAAATAATGTTAGATTTAAAAAATCCATAGCGACACATCAATCAGGAAGACCAGGGGGTTTAGTCAAGATGCCTTAACAGTAGTGTATGTAGAAAGTTGAAAACTAAATTTGTATGGAAATGACAGTTCGTGTCGACAAATTTTCATACAAATTTAGTTTTGTACTTTCTACATACACTACTGTTCCTTAATAGTCATCAACATCTTGACTAAGCCCCTGAGTTAACCTAACCAAAGTAATACATCTTTAATGACGTGCGTCACTCTATTCCTGTTACATGAGTAGTTAGTATAATGGTGAAATAAATCTTCACAGGACCCCTAAAAACTCCAGTTACAGATATTTAGAAAGCCGTTGCATATTCATATCGAGACAAAGGATTCTGTTGAAAGAAATTTAAACAATAGAGGATGAGTTGAGGCGACTGTTATTTGTCCCGCGCCTGACATTCCATTTCATCTTGTCAACACTGAAGTAGAAGTCTCATTTTAAGCCCAACTGTTTGTTGTACAATTTTGTTGTTTAATATTGCTCTACATTCTATTACCGCATATTTTGTGCAGCTAGTTCTTGAACCGCCCACTATGATTACTAGACTGCTAGCATAGACAAATGCCATGAGAAAAAACTATAAGTAGTAGTAGTAGTAGAATTACGGTACATGAATGCTTCTTGGTGTTCCTCTACATAGTACCTTAAAACATGTTTACAAGAGAATAAACCTATCACAGAATTTAGGATTAGAACATTCTCAATTTTTTAATCATTTTCTACCCATAAATTAAGATTGTTCCTAAGTTTGTTAAGCTGTTTTATTCTTTATTAATTATGACACAAGGAGTAATTTTATTACATTGTATTATGAAAAGTAATATAGACAATAAAAGTCCGAACGGTAATTTTATCACTGAGCAAGATTCAATTACTTCAGTTGTATTTCTTCACCGGCCCTAACTAATATTAAAAAAGCGAAAAAATATCTTGCATTAAACCTTTTGTGTTATTAAGTCTAAGTCCAATCACACTCCTATACCTCAGATGCATTTCACATGATTTGTTCAAATGCATCATTCAACGCACGTGCAGCCAAGGAAATCAAACGTACCGCATCGATATCCACGATAAACTCCTCAGAGTATCTCGACCTCCAGTTTACAATTGAAGCATTTAATTCATATGTTTGATACATTGCTGTTTTAGTTATAAATGCCTCTGTGCCTCAGGCAATGTTGATTATTCTCAACGATCTTTGATTGTTTTATTTTCCTGTATTATAAAATTTTTGTTCATTTTGTGTGCATATTTAGAAATTTCTTTGAAGCCATATCGTGTAATTTTTTTTATATATTAAGAGCTCTAGTAATTTACGTTCAATTTTCAAATTACCACTAAAAGATTTGAGTGGAGGTGTGTCACCTTTTTCCAATCGATTCCAATTCCGGATTAGATCGCTAGTCTCTAGATTTATCTTTTGATGTTCCGACGATTAATTATTTTCTTAGGCATAGATCTGACATAACTGTTTTAGAATTCAGATCAGAAAGGAAACTTGTATTTTACAATTTAAGTAATTTTTAGTTTAAGTAAACAATAATTTAACTGAGTTTTATTAATACTGTATTAGCCCGTTGCTATGTAACCTGCATAACTTATGTAACCTGCTTTTTATATACATATATGTTTTTGGATAACGTAACGAAGTGTATAAATAAATATTTTTGAAATGATCATTCTTAAGTATCGACTAGTTTAAATAGTAGTTTATGAGCCTTGCCCAACACGCAACATAGTACCTACGACATAGCCTAGTTACTGTAATGTGATGACAATGTTACAACAACGTGATATTTCCCATTCATAATGTCAAAAGTTACACAAAGAACTGATTCATGGACTATGCGTATCCTATAAGTTATAAATATGATTAGACAACTTGACGTTCAAATGTTGTAACGTAATTAACTCAAAAACAAATTTAGTATTGTCTTTTGCCACACTTCGTTGTCTAATATATTATTCAGAGAGTGATTGAATTTAAAACCTGTATGTAGGACTAAATAAAGTGACGCTGGGAGTGTGGGGATCGGTCCGGGTCTAACCCTTACCCAGTACAACCAAACGACCCCATCTGCTTGATATGGAGGCAGGGTAACAGTATCCATGATACGTGCTGCCGTCAAGATTAATAAAACCTAACCTAACACCAGTTACTTAATTATAAAGACATTAGTTTGCAAGTTAACGAAAAGTTTTATTATTGCCCTTTCAATTAAAAAAACTTTTTAATTTTATTCCGCCCAAGCTGTTAGTCACATCAGTCAGCAAGTTTTGTTCATTTTGTCGTTTTAGTATCAACTTGATACTAAGAAGAATGAATGAAAAAAACACCTACATATTTCTTTATTTGAACTAGCTGTTTTATTGGGATTTTCTTTTTCAAAATTACAATCGTATTACACAGTGTCTTATGTATCTTAGGGTTTAGACGGAGGATTCGACGAGGGCTCATCAATAGCCAGTAGGTATATTATAAAAATTTATGTTGTGATGCGGAAGCATTCTGGTATTTGTATCCGTGGATAGTAGTGGAAGTATCGAAGGTTGTAGTATTACTTCACTGTCCCACTATTGGTTGATCTTCTCGCGATAAGTTAATAGATATTGCAGATGGATGTAATGGATAAGTCTGGTATAGATAAAAATATACAACTAATTAATTGATTCATATCTAGATCACGTTTGTGTTCCAAGTGTTTATCTAAATGCTTAATAATGACACTGCTTTTTCATGCACAAACACAGAAATGTTTTTTTTTTAATATGCTGGCGAGATGTCCGTCTTTGACTTTACACTCAGCGGAGGCGAAAATCTCGGGTAAATCTGGGAATATATAAACATAAAAGGTCCTCAAAGAAAATTCAACTGCTGCACTAAATTACGATTGGTGGTGTTAGTGCCCCGTTCCTCGCCATTTAGGATATCCGTCGCATCCGTTATGTGAGTTATGGAATCGACTTGTGTATGTCTGGGTACTATAACATCTTTAACACGTAGATGGTTCTTAATTAAATTAAGCCTCAATGACTAAATCGATTATTACAACACAGAAAAAACTTCTTCAAACTTCTCTTTAACTTTTTGCATATTATGAGCCAAAAACCAAAACAAATGAACACTAGGTTTACATTAATTACAGTCAAACTTAAATTCTTCACAATAGGAAATGGATTTCGAGTTATTAGTAGTACACAGATTATAATAAAGTAGTAATAAATTACCGATGTCGATTTCCAAAAGTTGCTGTATTTCACGCGCCGATTTCTAATGGTAGATAACCACGAATTGGTCAATGTTCAGCAACCAGCAATAATTGTCGAAATCATGCAGGAAGGAAACTCAAATTAATTTTAGATATTTCGAGACTTGAACCGTTATTACTACAATATATTAGATAGAAATATAATGACATTTATTTATACACATCTGGAACTTAAATAAACACAATTATTTTTTAAGTTATCTTAATTAACTCTTTAAAATTATTACTTTATCGACTAAAACGTCTAATTTTCCAGATCTGAACACACAAACGAAAGAGTTCTATATAGACAAATATGTATAAGAAAATAGGCAAAATTGCGAAGGAAATCTAAAGGTACCAGGCAAGGTTTCTTTTTAAAAATTTTGTTAATTTTTTATCATGATGTAGCTTTTAAGCTAAAACTATTCTATAGACAATTCTTGACAGTATACTTCAATTAAAATAAATAAAAGTGAGGTCTAACTAATTAAAACAACTATAAACTAAACCACATTAAAGAAAATTTATAAAGCAAATAAATCATTAATAAAAAAGAGCAAAAATGATATTTTATGTACTAGACACTGGTAAATTGAGTGGAATATGACTGCTTTATATTAAGACGCATTTATAGATAATTAACTAAAACGCAGGAGGTAGGACACCAAATAAAATCACCACTTTATTCTGTACAGCTTAATCAATATTTGAATAAGCCTAAAATAATGTAATTTCCATCCAAATTGATTGTCGATCTCGTTCATTGACCCTTAGGTTTTGTTCCTACTACCGTATTACTTGTTACATTGCGTTCCCTCCTTCCAACATAACTTTACACTTCCAAATACATATTCTCCATAAGGTGTTTATTATATTTGAGACTAAATACTTACAAAATACCAATATATTTTTAATAATTAAAATATAACCAATAAAAAAACTACTATAGGTAGAAAAGCAAAAAAAACTGTGTGTGTACAGGCGTTAGAAGTTATACTTCTTTGGCGTAACAAGATAAAAATCTTTTCAAAAATTTTATTCTGCGTTTGTAGAAGAAACGATACTAACAATACAAAAACTAAAATGTTGACTATAGCTAACTTCAGGGTGTCGGTTTTTTGTAATGGTGTGCGCGCGCATCGTAGAAATTTACTCCCATAATTTTTCCCTAACGCGCTTCCAAATAACTTCAAAAATTAGTCTAACATTAATAAAAAAGTATTTTTATACGAATATCAAGGTAAAGTTACAAAATCGAGACTGAACCAATACTTATGCTAGCGTTAGCATGTCCTAGAGAACAATTTTTATTTTGTTTGTTTTTTTTGTCTATAATATTGTTAGTACAAACTTTTCGTAAAAAATAAATTTAAATTACAAATAAGTCACGTCAGCATTTGTACTCATTCGGACTCAAATTTATTTACTTGTGTAGAATTAAAACGTATGTTTCCTTTATTCTAGAGGAGAGAAGTTATATGTGACAGCTGACAAGAGGGGCGAGAAAGCTGGCTGCAAGCGGCCTCTTTGCTGGACTCTCCTAGGGCTAGTTGTTGCAGCAGTTGTAGCCCTTATTGTGTTAGCAGCAAGTAAGTATTGAATATCGTACGCAAATATATACCTACCGTAAAAACATACCCTATGAATATCACTACATAGTATAAAACAAAGTCGCTTTCTCTGTCCCTATGTATGCTTAAATCTTTAAAATTACGCAACGGATTTTGATGCGGTTTTTTTAATAGATAGAGTGATTTAAGAGGAAGGTTTATATGCATAATAACATCCATTAAATATGGATGGAGAAATACTGTTATTTTGAGGTTTCTAATGTGATGTCGTAAATCGTAAATAATTACATTTTTTCCGCTTACATTGCGAACCCTACGAGATTTATCAAAATAATGTACTAAGTATTGTACACATTGAAAAGGTCTACAGAAAACTCCGCGATGGTATACGAGTATGTCTATCTCTTATGGATATCCCACAATAACATTTTTTTTTCATTTACTTTTAACGACAAATAATGGCTAATTTTCGAAGCGATTTTAACCAATACAGCATTAATCCTTATCCAATTAAATACCTTAAATACATTTTTGATTTAATATAAATCTATATGGCCCTTTACAGCATATGATTTAAATTAATATTTTCGAAGATATTACAAATTTAAAAATTGCGGGACGCAACGCGTCGGAGGCCGCGGTTTCCCTATACTCTATAGCACTTTGAATTTAGTATCAGCATTGCATTCGTGCGAAGCCGGAGCGGGTCGCTAGTTAATTATAAATCAGTGTTATGATTGTTGACATTTAAAATACTACCTATTGGTACAAGACAGACCCCGTCGTCTCTTTCTAAATTAAGTTATGAATTTAATGGTACACAAACAGCATTTTAAATTTGATTAATTGTAATGTTTCAGCTGGCATTCTTTTTTCCAATTCCCCAACGCCGCTGGAGCAGTACAACGCATCTGTAAGTTCAGCGCGAGCTTTTGGAGGCATCAGTGGCTCTGACCACGACCACGCGACACACGACCATGACCATGATCACGATCACCATCATCACGAAGAGACTACAATGGCGACCGAATCAGATGATCCTCGTGTTATATCTTCAGATGAGTCGGATATCAATATGTATGGTACGTCCAGTCCAAACTGTAAAATATATATTGTGCAGCATCATCTTCATTTGAATGGAATGGGACCTAACCTGCTTATAACCTTTATATATATTGATGATATTGTTATCATTAATTTGTCAATAAAAATACATTTAACCACATTAAATTTCATTTTGTAGAGATAACGAAATTATATCCAAAGAGGACTTTGAAATTCCTTTCAAGAAAAATAAATTTTCAGTAAAGACACGGTTCCATTCTTCAGCTAAAATAAAACGGAAACGCTCTATTTCACAGCAACCTTTAGACATAATATATAACATTAACATCGCAAGACTAAATCGGTCATAAAAGTATCATAATATGCTTCTTCGTTCGTAAGCTGCATAGTCTGTATATTTAACGATTTTTTTTGTACTCCACAGTACCGCGAACCGTGGAAGGTGAATTAAGAATAGATAATGAAGAGTTTGTACCCGCTCTACAGGATCCAGACAGTGAAGAATATCGAGAATTCGTTTCAATTTTCAATAATGCACTCAAACAAGCAATATTTGACAAAACAGATATGCAATCTAGTGACGATATATCGCTTGAAGTTATTCAGATAAGGTATGTCCAGATACAAGTCTTGCCGAAGATTGTGAATCTTGTTTATGAACTTTGATTTTATCTACTATCAAAAAAGATAATCTATTAGATCGACTTAATATAGGTTTATATTTGTGTATATATAAATGCTATATTAAATACTCCCATTCTCTTTTTTCAGAAATGGATCTGTCATCGTAACCTATCGAATTCATTGGGTCCCAAAACATAATTCCGAAAATACAGAAGACCTTTTGACTGCAAATAGTTTAAGAACGAATTTAAACAGTTATCTAGCCAGGAGTAATAGAATGATAAGCGTATATCATGTAGCTGAGGAATCTGTTAATGCAAGACCTGTGTTAGACATGTGCAAAGTAAACAACAATGACTGCGATCACGGCTGTGAATTTGACGAAACAAGTCTTGATTTTACTTGCACATGTCCGCCCGGACAAATCATTGATATGTACTCTCCTAAAAAATGCATTAATATTTTAGACAGTACCCAAGGTAGATCAGAAAGTCCTCAGGAATCTAATACTTCTAATTTCCATTCCCACACCATGTCGTCTATGCAGGTTCCAGAAACCCAAAAACCAACAACAGAATCGGTCCAAATAATAGACAATAGATTCGATTGGAAAGATACAAATTCTCAGCCAACAACAACTACTACTGAATCTGAACCAGATCTTAACTTCTCACATATATTTGGTCAACATAGTGAACACCACGACGCGGAAACACCAAAGCCTGAACCAGAGCCAACAGCCGAACCTTCTGCAGAACCTGAACCAACAGCTGAACCTAATTTAAGTGCAGAATCGGCAGTTGAATCTCACCGTCAGCCAGAGCCAAATCCAGAACCAGAACCAGAACCAACCTCAGAACCTGAACCCAGTGCTGAACCAAAACCAGAGCCTGAACCAACTTTAGAATCGGAACCAAGTGCCGAACCAAAACAAGAGCCTGAACCAACTTTAGAATCGGAACCCAGTGCCGAACCAAAACCAGAGCCTGAACCAACTTTAGAAACGGAACCCAGTTCCGAACCAAAACCAGAGCAAGATCTAACTTCAGAATTTGAACCTGTTGCAGAGCCAAAATCAGAGTCAGAACCAACTGCTGAACCTACCGCAGAACCCCAACCAGAACCCGAGCCAACCGCAGAACCTCAGGCCACAATCGTCGCTGAAGCTCAACCGGAGCCAACTACTGAAACAAACAATAGTAAAGAACTTGAATCAAATGCAGGGATTGATATTTACTCTCCTCAAAACCAACCAACAACTGAAAATAATTCTTCACAAGAACCAACAGCTGAACCAAACTCGGATCCTAGAGAAGGAGTGAACAATAAACCAGACCGCATTCATGAATTCTTCCCTAATTCCGGCTTAAAGGAAGAATCTGATATCACTACAGAGTCAAACCTTTTTCAAGTTTCTGAAACAGAATCAGAGTCAAGAACAAATATAAAAGGCACGGAAATTGAAAGTGAATTATCTTTCGCAGATGAAAACCACACCGCTTATTCAACTGAAGTACATCAGATGGTAACCGATCCTACATTCATGAATGACGGTGACACTCATATTGCAACAGATAAAGATATAAGTGAGGAGTCCAACAATCAGTTCTCCGAAACTACCGAACATCATTCAGGTTTAAACAGTGAAGAAGACCAAAAAATCGACGAAAATATTGACAAGTCACTATTAGTTAAGGCAAGCTCGTCGTCTGAGGAATCAAAGCAAAGTGAAAGTAACGATAGCTCTATGTCAGGTGAAACAACTACAAGAATTTCAATATCTGATCTTAATATTAGAAATGAACCATCATATGAACCAAAACCTGAGGTAATAGCAATATTAAACAATATGCCAGACCAAAGCATATTCAGTTCAAACGTTGAGACAACTACGACAAGCGATTGGTTAAATAATGATAATGTTGATTCATCTCATTTTTATGCTAAAAAACCTATAGAAAACTCACAAGAAGTACTTAGTAACGACAAAATAAATACAGAAGAAAGGTCATCAAAATCTTTAGGAGAAATTGAACAAGATAGCACTACGCAATCAAACAATTTAGAAAATGATGAAATAACGTTCGATCTCATAAATAAAAAGAATGAAACTGAAACCGATGATGGTATAATAGCAGCCACTTTACAACCTATGACCACTGAAGAACCAACACTATTAATTGAAAAGGAAAATACTAAAATAGAACATATGAATGATGATAAAAGTGTGATATCTTTAGAAACAATTAATCAACAATCAAAGACTACGGTTGGGCAAGAAAAGATATTCTCGACCACTGAAGACTACAAAGTTATAGATGACATTATGAAGGTAACAGAATCAGGAATATCTCAAGTAGCAACGACTACAGAAGTAATGCAAGAAGATATAAAACACGAAAACGATGAAATAACTTTTGACACTCTAAATGCACTTTATAATCGATCATCTAAGTCAATCGAAGACCAATCTATTGATCATGAAAAAACCACAAAAATAGATAAAAACTTCAATGAAGTTACAGAAGGAACTACAGAGTCAGATTGGCTATCAGAAACAGTAACTGAAGTTAATTACGAAGATGTCATGAAAACTTATAAAAATAAGGAAACTACAGATTTACCTGTAACTACAGTCGATGATACTGTTAGTAAAGAATTGCATAAAGATGATTTTGAACCAGATTACTTAACTAATATGGGTAGCAACAATAGTAAAATGTCTGACCAAGACATGCCTTTATACGGTATTGTTCACGATTATGACACTGAAGATTCTAGAGTTAAGAGAGTAAATTCAAACAAAAAAACTGATTCTATAAATTCGGAATTAACAACTCCTACATCTGAAATAGTGCAAGCAGAAACCACAACTATTCATGAATATATTTATAAAACCGCAGAAAAAGCATTAAATGATATGTCAAACGAATTTGTCACTACTGCGTCACCATTAAACCAACCTTCAATGATTGCTAATGGCAATCCCGCACCTGTGTGGGAGAACTATGAAAATGAAACTCAAAAGGGAATAATTATTAAAGAAATAGCAAATGAAACAGTTATAAATTACACGAGCAACCCAACATTAATGCCCGAATTAAGCGAAAATTCTTCACCTGTTAACAACATTGGTGTAACAATCTATGAAGTACCTAGTCATAACGATAACCTAACAACAAATCCACCAAAAGCAATTCACTCTTCTGCTAACGAATATGAAGACCATGAAACTGAAATGAATCCATTCCTCCCAGAAGTAGAAAATAATAAAATTCTTGTAAAAAAGCTACAAGAAGGTCATGATCTTGAACCAACTGGATTGAACGAAACCCAAAATGAAACACCTGATGAGCAGCACAATTTAGCAACTTCTGACGGGAAAACAAATGCTTTTCAAGATCCTTTAGATGATGCTACCGCAGAAACAATGCATCCAGACATAATGACACCACAGTCAACAGAAAAGGATAGCTTATTTAACGAATTACTAAATCATCACCAAGACGCAACGACTTCAAGATTAAATGCGGCTACACTGAAGGATATTGATCTGGATACTACGACTAAAAGAGAGGGTAATGAAGTTTTACCAATTTCGACATTTCTTTTAGATACAGACGATTTAGATGACACTAAGACAACGCAATCGGATATTTTAGGTAACAACTCACCAACTGAATACTTAAATGTAGTTCCTATATTTGAAAAGGAATCTTTAAAGAAAAATTACAACAGTGAAAATATTGAAGAGTTAAATTCAATTAGTGATTCACCAAAAAAAAGTGATAGAAGGACAATAGATACAACTAACGATGACTCTGTAATAAATAATGAAGCGTAGTTAATAAATTAAACTAGTTTTAATTTTAAAGTTGTAAGGTTGTACATTGTAATATTATATTTCCTGTGATTTCTGTCGAGCAAATGCGCAATCTGCCTATCTATTATCTGTCGTCGTTTGTTATGTAGTTACGATGGAGTATTTTTATGTCGTACATTTGAACAATTATTTTCATTAATTTGACAAGTATTGATACTAATTATAATTTAAATCTATATTTCGTTAGACTAGTCAAATTAGGGAGTCATGATTATGTCGATTTTAGATTATTTATTGCTTCAATGTAAGACATACTTCTGCTAAACTTATAATGAAAAGTATAAAATCGTCAATTATTACTCGTCGTATTTCCATTGTTATAAAAGGAATATAAATTAATGAGAATAACATCATTTTAATTTGTTACCATAACTAGATATTAGTTTTATTTAAATGAAACATTACATGGGCAGTTTAAAGCAGCATTGAAAAACATTATATTAAAATCCTTTGCCATGTACTGTGTTATGTGATAAATAATACACATTCCACATAGTACATATATAATATATATATGAATATTATATCAGTGATTTATTTTGGAAGTGAGGTCTGATTGTAAAATAATAATAATTATAGTAGGTCTTGTTAACTAAGGTATATTTTGTATAATATGGTTGAAACTGTAAAGAAATATGTTGTAAATAAAGTTAATCAAAATAAAACCTTGAGTTATTACTCTATATCCCATACTCTTGTTTAACCTCTAATTATATTCATCTCCAAGTTTATGGTAAAAATGTTTAGGATTTAACAGAAACAAAACTTTCAACAATGCAATATATTTTATAAATGATAACTTTACTTACACTGGAATTGGTGTTAATTCACTAATTTCATGATAGATAATTGGACTATCATCAATCGCCATTTTTGCACAAAGACAATTCTCATTTATTGTACCAGTACCAGAAACAATACATTTGCCTAAAACTGCTTTACAACTATTATATGGTATATCAAAGTTACTGAAATCATTTTTATCTTCAATATATACTTTTTTAACATTTTTAGCTATTGTTATATCATTATCCATAAATTCTTTTATTTTTATTGTACCATCACTATTATATTTAAGTTCTGGCATATTTTCATTTCTTAAAGTCTCTTTATTTTTTGCACAATAACAGCCTTTACATGTAGTATCATCAGTTTTACTTGCACTAATATTTAAATTTGTACTATCACCAAAATTATAAGTAACTAAGTTAGGTACATTATCTATTCTCTCAGCAATTATTTTACTTTTCTTAAAAGATAAATCTTCAAGCAACTGGTACTTTTTAAACAATTCTGATGTTTCCTTTTCATCTTCCATGTACATCTGCTCTAAATCATTATGTTTGTCTGAAAACCAAAAAATATATTTAAAAAAATGACATACACAGTAGCTATTAACAAAATTCACAAATCAATACCTTCCAATGAAGTTGGTGATGTGATCCTATTGTATCCATAAAATAATTCATAGTCATCTGCACTAATCAAATTTTCTGTAAAAACAAGTTTGAAATGGGAAATAAATTTCAATGTAAAAACAATTATTGTAAGCCAGTTGCATAGCAAAATAAATAATTTATGAAACACTCACTATGTGTTGCCAGATGGCGCTTCAATGCATAATCATTTGTAAATATCTTCAAACATTCTGGTAAATTGCATTTGAGCCAAGAATTTGGTTTATGCTTTTTCAAATGTGTTTTCAAATGATGTAGTTGAATAAATCCTGTAAACAATTCAAGACAGAGTTAAAAAATTTAAAGTTAGGTTAGTGATACAACAAGTATACTTGATAAGAAACACTGTTTTACAATTATGAACAAAGATAAAACGTCTAAATTTACATTAAAATTTATATAATTTTTTTAGATATGCATTAATCAAACATAGCTTTCATCATCACTCCAACCAACAAATGTAAAAATATCTAGAACCTCACAAAGACGTTATACATATGAACCATGAATCATAGAGTTTACTCACCTTTCCCACAACTAGAGCAGTAATGTTGTTTCTCCGCTGAATGTGTTTGTTCATGATGTTTAAGATGATGTGCAAAGTTAAATGTTTTTTCACATCCATTGTAACTGCACTGATATCTTCTTTCCGACTTTGGTTTATGAGTTTTCTGGTGAGACAACAATGCCTGCTGGCTGTTGAACTTTGCTTCGCACTTAGAGCAAATATGTGTTTCTGAAACATTATTTGTCATTTAATTAACTCAATAAACATGGTGTGAATGTACTTAACATCACATAAAGAATATCTTAACATTGTTCCTTGTAATAATTTTCACTTGAAGCTCTAGCATATTTTTCACTCTTTATCAATTCTTTACGTATCTTTCAGCACAATCAATACAGAGGAAAAAACGAAAGTTTTTTTTAGATGTGATACAAACGGAATATAATGTATATAAATAAACATTACTAAGATTTGAGAATTCCTATGTAACAAGTACTCACCTTTATGAGCGTATTTAATATGACGTTTAAGCAAGGTTTCATCTCTAAAATTTCTATTACATTCAGAACATTGGACTATGCCAGTTCTTTTGTGTTGTTTCTGATGACGTCGCAAAGCAGAACTGAAATTTCATGTTTATTTATATTAAATAAAGTAACATAGATTGACAAACAAATAATACAAATGTAACATTTGTAAACTTACACAAAACTGAATTTTTTTAAACATTCTGTACACTCAAATTGAGGAGTGTGACTTATTTCATGCCTTCTCTTTTCACTTTCATACTTAAATCCTTTACTACAGTATCCACACGCAAACATAGCTTTATAGTAAATGCTATTAGAAATAGAAAATTATATTAGAATAGTATGACAATTTCTGCGGATAAGTCTCGTCACACAGAAGCTCAATGATTGATTGAATAGAATCTACATTCTACTGCTCCTATCACTTTAAGCTTATCAAATTATCGCGTCTTATCAATTATTTTGGAGAAATTAATTAATTATAGAGTAATCATTAGCACGACGATAAATAAAAATAAATTTTCTGAATGAAACTTACAAATTTCATAAATCTTAAGCATTCAGCATTGAGTGCTCGTTAGCTAGATATAAAAGCAAGCATTTGTGATTTGATGCTTTTGCCTTTTATCAGACTAATTAGGTACTTAGTTTACTGAATTACTGATTACTGACAGTAATTATCATATGACATATCATGATGATGATGATATTAATTTATCCCTAATGGGAAAGGCAAAGGACTTTAGTCCCTTGTGGACCCTTTTTTCTAACTTCATGCTAAGTCTAGTTTCTGAATCTTACCCATTATGATATTATTAAATAGGAAATAAAAGTTAAAATTTAATAAATACAAAGTATGTAATGAAAATGTATAAAAGTAATGATTAACTCATGTTTTGTTAAATTCTAAAAAAAATTGTCTGTATAATAACCGTAGTTATTTAAAACGCCGTTTAGTAGCTGTTCTAAATTAATCTGATAATTGACAAATGATTAATGAAATTAAACTGACGTCGGACGCCGCTGTCAATTGTCAACAGTCAACACTCAACATGTTAGTCTACACTCTACGCTGTCAGTCTCAGTTGCCACTTGCCAGAGAAGTAACTTAATTTTAATACAATTCTTTTATAACTTACGTTCAGAAGAAAACAAATAAACGAAGGCATTTGATTTATCTGTTTTGAAATTTTAAGCATGTTTTATTTTGTATAACATACTACTTACCCCGACTAAGCGTGATTTTGTTATTTTTCCGACGTGAGAAGAAGATTATTTTTGCGCCTTTTTCGCGCAATATTTCAAATTACGTAAGTTGTAATATCGTAAAAAATATGTCCTTAGTGAACAGTAACGAATGTATAGTAGGTTTTATGGCTATCACTCATTTAATCATAGAAAGTTTATGGAGATATCCTTTTGACTGAGTATAGACACCGTGAGAAAACATTTAATTATCAGTAATAAATAATTCAGTTTCTTCATAGAACTCGATCAAGATGCACGGTTGGATAAAGATTACTCTTATATTATGTCTATTCGGCACTTTAAGAGAGATTCGTCCCTCAGAACCCTTTGTAACAGAGTTTTTGCTTGGAAAGTGGAGAAATATTACAGAATCTCAATTGAACCGTGATGTTTATCCTGTGGGAACGTATTCCTATCTAGGACTTTTAGTCATCGTATTTTTAATCACAGATTTCTTACGATTTAAACCAGTCATTATTCTCTCAGGTAAGTATCTTTCTAATTTGAATAAAAATAATCTCATGATTTAATGATATCATTAATCAGGTACTTAAAATAGTTTATCATTATAAGCAGTCACGTAATATTTATCTAATCTTAATATGAATATTTGGGTTTAAGTTTATCTTTTTGATTACACAATGATGCAATCTTACTTTATAGTTAATAAGTTATGCTTTAACCTTCATTTGTTCATTATTAAAATGTAAAAAAAAGGTTACCAATTTTTTTTATTAACTTCTATATTATTTGAAAGATTATTTTTCTATCTACCTTGTATATATAACAATGTTAAATTAAAGTTCAACATTCATTACAGGTATAAGTGGAATAGCAGTGTATGCAGTATTACTATGGACTACAAGTTTAGAATGGCTACAAGTGTCTCAAGTTCTATATGGAATTTACATGGCAACAGAAGTTGCATACCTCACATACATTTATGCAAAGGTCTTATTTCTATATTAGCATCTTTCTATTTTTTCACAAATAAGTAAAAGTCCTTGTCTATTTTATGTTTATGACAATGCTTAAATTAGCCAAGTTTTGATAAACATCTATAATTTTCATTTATAAATAACTTTATATTCAAATTTATTTTATATCCTTGCTTAAGGTGGACTCTTCAAAGTACCCTAAAGTGTCATCCTACACTCGCATGGCCGCACTAACTGGTCGTTTTCTCTCTGGAGTGAGCTCCCAATTATTAACTCACTTTAATATAATGGATCTTCGGGACCTTAATTACATAACACTTGCAGGTATGTAAGTCTTGTAAATAATTTTTTTATTAAGAAACAGATACACAAGTATTGGAAAAAGTCATATAAAATATTCTGTTAGAATATTTGATTGTAGAACAGATTTACACATAAGAATATTTTTTTAAATATATACACTATATATAGTACATGTAATGGCGTTAACGGGCCATGTTTTGCTGATTTGCTGAAATGTGGCCGGCAACATTGCAAACAATAGCAGCCACACTAACAATTGCAGTTATGGCCATATACCAAACAGTTTTGTAAGCCATAAGGCCGATGTTGCCCCAGGGGCGACGCTAGGCTATCGAATTCTATTAAGCAGTTTCTTCAGTCACTCTCTTTGTTATGGCATAGTTATCCTTTTCTAGGACATGACGTTTCTTTGAGTGAAGTGTGCGTGTTGCTTTATTCTGTGTTTTGCGATCAGCTGTATTTGACGTTAGATTACTACGTAAAAATGACTACTTTTGACATTCTAGTTCTTGAATAATTTATTATCAAGACTTATTTCTAGACTCAAATTGTCTACAGTTTCACGCCTATTAAAGAAGGTCGAAACAATTCTCTTTTTCTGTTTCTTTTTTAAAACAATATAAGCTGCTGCGACAAGTGTGATTTCGTCAGCCATTGTTGCCGGTTTGTGTAGCCCGTTTAGGAGTCTGCACCATGGGCCATACTATTGCAGACATATTGCAACATAGTGCCAGCTATAGATTGTTCGGCCAGTCAGCTGCATTAAAATATTTCTTTAATGGCCGGACACATGAGTGGCCAACAGTTTAGCCATCAATTCCACTTTAGACCATAATATATACACCAAACATACATTACAAAATCGTTTATACCTATATCTGAGATCAATTGATACCTAATTGACCTTGTTTAGTCGTAATTGAAAACTTTTCTGTATTTAGGTGTCTATTTTTAAGCAATGTAATTTAAATCCACCGCCATGGCTTATCAACTTTGAGAATAAGTCTCAAATTCGGTTCCTGGTGAAGCAATTGTTAATGGTAATGTGGCAAAAATATATTATAATTACATAATATAGGATAAATGCAGAGGAAAATCTGAATTATTCACTTAATGATTGTTTATGGTTGGTTTATGTTTACCACATCACATAAAATTAATTAAAGCGATAGTTAATACATACACTCTCCTAATAAACGTAACGGTAGATGTTTTTAACCTTAGGGGATCTGCGTTACGACTTCTCTCATTAAACTCTAAAAAATTGTAGAGCAAAAAGAAAACATAATGGACGGCACCAATCTTCAATTTGCTTTTCAAAAATATAACAAGTTTTATTTTTAAATATATTACCGCTTAAAGCTTTATTATCTGAAACTATTGAAATAAAACGTTCGAACGAGTAAATTCCATCGAAGCGATTGCACAATAATATCTTAAATAATTTTAATTTATCGCGCATCATTATGCCATTTATAAGTAGATTGTTGTTAATTTTAGCTTGTGTCCTATAATTTGAAGCGATTCAAATTACAAATTGTATTTATGTGAACTCATATACGGAGCGCATTGTCAACAAAAATGCAACTCTAAGTGGAAAACTACTATTTTTATCGAACAATTTTAACGGATTTACTCGACGACACGAATACTTTACAGGACAGTCAGTCTTATCACGTTTTGTGCAAAATATAAAAAGTCTGTATAAAAAGCAGTATTGAGAATCAATTATAATAATTTAAATATATAAAAACATTTAATAATGAAATTAAATACATTAATTTATATTTTATGCTACTTATTTCATATAATGTAGTAGATTCACATTGTAATTGTTAAATATTGTTACGAAGACGGGTCGACTGCAATGTTTTTAGATTTTTCCACTACTTAGAGAACTTTTCAGCAGGCTGAATGTGATATCTGACCGTTCAGGGAGGGTCAATCACATATTAGAAAATCGCAATTTACATAATGTTACCCTAGTTTTCAGGAGCCTGAAACATTTTTCAGGCCGTTTCAGAACACGCGTAGTAATGGTACACTTTTCAGGAAACCCGTTTTCAGGCGTTTTCAGGCCTGGTTATACCCCTTTGACGAAGGAATGTTCTAGAACGAATTTTCTAGGTGTGGGAGAAGGACAGCAGAGAGAGGAAATCGGAACCTTCTCAAGCTAGACCGACACTCTCAACCGTACGAAAGGACGGAGCAATTGCGAAAGAGAAGCTAGTACGCACGTTCTAAATTGTGCGATCGCTATAGTTGCGCCGCGCCAAGAGTTCTCAGCTCAGGAATATAACGGCCGAAAGCGACCGAGTTCAGTTTGAATGCGCCAAGCATAAACACCGGAGTGACAAAGTCGATAGTGAAGAAAAGTGAAACAAGTACTGTGTGAAGTCGTGTTTAGAGTAATTAGTGACATTATTTTTGTGTGTTTTAGTGAATCAGTGCGTAATTTAATTTTTAGTGTTAACAAATTCCTCTAGATTTAATTAGAAATAAACCCTTGAAGAAATCTACGGCGTTTCTATCCGATCCCTAGCTCGTAACATTTGGTGTCAGAAGTGGGATAGAAAAATGCCAATTACTCAAGGGAGAATCAAGAGGAGTTTGTAGCTGAGTCTCCAGCTGCGGAGGGAGTCCAGACAAGGGCGCAATCAGCACGCGACGCTGCCCGACGACAAAGTTTCGATGCGAACCGCGGGATGGGTGAAAGCAACGATGCCAACATGCTTCTTGCTCTGCGCCAAATGATGGAAGAACAGGCACAGTCAAGAGGAACAGGCACGACGTCAAGAGGAACAGGCACGACAAATGATGGAGGAACAGGCACCCGGCAAGAAGAACAGGCACGCCGTCAAGAAGAACAGGAGCCATGATGGAAGAGGCTAGCCGTCGTATGATGGAGGAACAGGCACGGCGTCAAGAGGAGCAGGCTCATCAGATGATGGAGGACAGGCCCGCCGTATCGGAGAAAAACTTGGTGACGAAAATACAGGTAGAGAAAAAATCGAGAACTTGGAATCTGATATGGACTCAAATTTTCGAAACAGGACAAACGTATCTCGGATTAGAACAAGAGATGCAGTGCCTAAGCCAAAGGTGTCGTAACGACTGTACTCTGAAATCTGAAAGTACCTCCCTTTGACGGTACATCTTCCTGGGGCGCGTACAAAATACAGTTTGAGACTTGGCAGAGTCAAACGGGTGGAATGACGATCAGGCTGTCACCGCCTTATTATGGGACTGCGAATGAAGCCCTCACCATATTAGATACCAAGACAGGTAAAGTGACGTTGAAGAACTGCTGGATGCCTTGGAATCACGTACGGAGACGCACATTTAGAGCACGTCTATAGGGCTCAATTAAAGGATAGAATACAGCAGACAAATGAAAGTTTGCAAAAATGGGGATGTGAAAAGAAGCTGGTTAGGAAAGCCTATGCATCCTCGCCAGACGTTGCAGACAAGATGTTGGTTCAAGCCTTCGTCGACGGTATTCGAGACCGTGAAATTCGAATGGCTTAACCTAGGTACCATAAGGACCTCAAAATGCCTTGCCTGCGTTGGAAGTGGAAGCATTTTGCAAGGATTCTCGACCTAACCGCATTAGGGCTGTCTCGGAAAAACGTAGTTCCCAACGTGGACCCACCTGTTACCTCTGCGGGAAGTAGGGCATATGAGGTTTTCGTGCCCTAAAGCGATCCCCGAGTCGAAATGAAGACAAGACGTGGGGAGCCCGATGACGTGGATTGACTCCGCTGAACAGCGGCAGGGAAACGAATAGAAGCCAGGACCACGGGCGGGTCGGCCGGTTCGTAAGAAGGCCCCAAAAGTTATGATTCTCAAATCAGGATGGGAATACATTGTCATCGACGGAGAAGTTAACGGCACTAGGTTGAGTTACCTTGAAGATCCGGACGTAATCAGATACCACTTCTAAGTCATTTTACAAGAGCCTTTCTGGTGGAAATGTACAGCTCCTTACAGCTACTGGTCAGCACATAACCTTCGAGGAGAAGGTATCGCTACCTTCAAGATTGGTGGGAGAACATACAGACATAAGGTGGTTATTGCTGACATCGTGGATGACTGTATTATCGGTTTAGACTTCAAAGCATTACAACTGTAAGATTGACCTAAGAACGGCACATTCAATTGTAGAGATGAAGTAGTTTCCCTAAAAGATAACACATTGAAGAACGGGTACGACGTGTATAGAGCTATCATTGAAGATGGTACAGTTAGTAAACAACGAGATATAGTTCAAGCAATACTGGAGGACTGTAAGGAAACCTTGACGAGGGAAGAAATGTCGAAAGCAAAGGACTATTAAAAACATTTTCTGACATGTTTGCTACACACGATGGAGATCTAGGAAGGACGGTGTAGTTAAACATCAATGAACTGGAAAGCCCTTACGTTTAAGACCGCACGAGTACCTGTCCATATGAAAATAGCAATGATTGCAGAAATGTCAAACATGTTATTGAAGCATCTTCCAGCCCTTGGTGCTCCAGTAGTTTTAGTCAAGAAAAAGGATAACAGTTTAAGGTTCTGCGTCGACTACGTCGTCTACGATTACGAAGAAGGACAGTTATCCGTTACCTAGAATAATGACACCTTGGATACCTAAGTGGGGCAAAATGGTTTACAACTTTAGACTAAAAGTGGGACAAGTGAAACTCAAGTATAAAAGAAAACAGCGTTCTACTGGTAAAGGACTATGGGTTTAAAGTTATGCCGTTGGACTTTGCAATGCCCTGCCACCTTTGAAAGACTAATGGAAAAAGTGCTGTCAGAAAGGAGAAGCCTGCTTAGTGTACTTGGATGATGTAGTCATCATTGGGAAGGATTTTGATGATCACATACGAAACGCGGGTGCTCTCAGACTGCATAAAGCCAACCTGAAACTAGTGCAAAGAAATGTTTATTTTTCAAGAGAGCAGTGAGCTACTTGGGGCCTCAGAGGATGGGGTTCGAACAGACCCTGAGAAGATAGTTGCGGTGAAGGATTGGCC